AAAAAAAAAAAAAGAAATGGGAACAATGAAATGACCTATGAAATAAATAATAAAAGTTAGCTTGTCCTTGGATAGTCCCATGATCTGGAAATATGCTTTTATTATCGGAAAAAGCATTATATTTAAATATTCCTGTTTATAAATTTCCTAAAATGAAGGCCAAATGGTGACAAAGAATTCCATCAAAGCTGACAGTTGTGTTCCATACTTCTTCAAAGTATGGGTTATGGTGTTTTCAGCCCTCATTTGTCACACAAAGTGGAAAAAGGGCAGTATGCTGCCCACTGAATGAAAATATGGAAAGAACAATGCAAGGGCAATTTCTGCAGCTGCAGACACCCAGAAGACACCACTAATTATGGCTTGTGTTGAGACATCTCCTTAAGTATCTGTCAGGACTCTGGTTGATATGCTCTAAAAAAAGTTCACAGTTAACACACATCACTCAACAATTTGTATGATTTCCAGTTAGTAGTTTGATTTGAGATCACGTTTAAAATGATTTCTTTTGGTTTTTTGAGATTATAATGTAATTACATAGTTTACTTCCTCCCTTACCTTTCTCCAAAATTCTCTCATATACCCCTTTTGCTTTCTTTAAAATTCTTGTCTTTTTTTATTGTTGTTGTATACATATATGTGATGATTTTATTAAATTACCAGTGCCCTATTTAGAACTTTCACTTAAAGATGAAGAAAATCTTAGCGGAGACTGTTAAGGTTTCTCAAAATCATGCTGGTTGTAACACAAACCAGTAGTTTTTTTTTAAAACTTTACTTGTATTATCCCACTTGTTAATATTGTTGATGTTGGTGGTGACGGTGGTGGAGGTGGGTGGCGGTGGTATGTGTGTATGTGTGGTGGAAAGATGACTTTGTGGAGTCAGTTTTCCGTTTCTACTTTCACATAGGTGCCAGAAATCCAATTCAGCAACTAAGGTTTGCACGACGAGCTCCTTTACCTGCTTAGCCATCTTATTAACCCCGAATCAGGAATCTTATCTTTTTACACTCAATAACTTCTCACACTTTCATTATGTATGTACAATGTACTCCTACCTTAGAAGCAAGACTCTTCGATTATGGCATCATTTTCAAATTTAGGAAAGAAGTAATTCTGATAATGAGTCGTTCTGCTGAGTGTTGCCATAAGATTTACCAGTCAAGATAAATTAAGTTGTAAAAATGGTTACAAAGATAAAAAATTGATTTCCACAATTTCTGTATCCATTCCTCCGTTGATGGACATCTGGGTTGTTTCCAAGTTCTGGCTATTACAAATAAAGCTGCTATGAACATGGTTGAACAAATGTCCTTGTTGTGTACTTGAGCAAATTTTGGGTATTTTTACACAATAGAATACTACTCAGCAATCAAAAAGGAGGAAATCATGAAATTTGCAGGCAAGTGGTGGGATCTAGAAAAGATCATTCTGAGTGAAGTATCCCAGAAGGAGAAAGACAAACTTGGTATATACTCGCTTATATAGACCTACAAGATATGATAAACATAATGAAATCTACACACCTAAAGAAGATAATCAAGAAAGTGGACACAGGTGAAGGTGATTAATCCTCATTTAGAAAGACAAATGGGATGTGCATTGAACTTATGACAGGAGTCTACCACAAAAGGCATCTGAAAGACTCTACCTAGCAGTGTTTCAAAGCAGACACTAAGACTCATAACCAAACCCTGAGCAGAGTGCAGGGAATCATATGAAAGAAGGGGAGTTAGTATGATATGGAAAGGATAGGAGCTCTACAAGGACCAAACATATCTGGGCACAGAGTCTTTTCTGAGACTGACACTCAACCAAGGACCATCTATGGATATAACCTAGAACTTCTGCTCGGATGTGGCCCGTGGTAGCTCAGTAACCAAGTAGTTTTCCAAAGTAAGGGGAACAAGGACTATTTCTAACAGGATCTCAAGGGCAGGCTGTTTGACACCCCCCCCCCCAGGGGAGGAGCAGTCTGTTAGGCCACAGAGGAGGACTTTGCAGCCAGCCCTGAAGATACCTGATAAAACAGGGTCAGATGAAAGGGGAGGAGGTCCTCCCCTATCAGTGGACTTGGAAAGGGGCAGGGAGGAGACCAGGGAGGGAGTGTGGGGTTGGGGAGGGAATGAGGGAGCGGGATACAGCTGGGACACAGAGTTAACAAAATGTAACTAAAAAGAAAAAAATAAATAAAAATAAAAATAAAATAAAAAAAAAAGAAAAATCAAAAACCAAAAAAAAAAAATTGATTTCCTCTTCTCAAACTCTATCTTCACTGGTGCTGTTCCTCAATGCAATAGTAAGTATTTAGTGTATAATAGCTTTTAATCATCTTTTGGTACAGGTAAGTAGGCATATTGGGATCTTGAGATAATATAAGCTATGTTTTCTTTTAGAAATTTCAACAGTTCAGGCTGCACACTGAGGTCTTTTGTTTTTTCAGACTTGATTGCTCTTTAGGATAATAGATATGTGTCCAGTTTTAGCTATCTAATTGGACATAAGGGCATGTGAATTAGATCAGAATCATTCCTGTACTATATAAAAATCTACCCAACTGCCTGTGGTTGGGGCAGTCACAGCCCCTATGGGAGAACTTTCTACTTTGATAGGTTCCTAGAGCAATAGAATTTCTAGCTGTATTATAAACATGTGTCGTTATACCTATGGATAAGTGTAGCATTCATCCCTCATCAATGAAGTTTTTTTTTTGTTTGTTTGTTTTTAGAGGAAGACTATTCTAGAGACACATAATGGGTCCAAATGCAAAGAAGAGGTGACTATGGGATGCCCAATTCCAGTTAGTATACTTCCTACAGCCAAGGATCGAAGAACCCCAAATAAGAAGGAGTAAAAGTTTATAAGAGCAGCTGTGCCTAGGGGTGCACACCTGTAATCCTAGCACTCAGGAGGGCAGAGGCAGGCGGATCTCTGTGAGTTTGAGGTCAGCGTGGTCTATTTAGTGACTTCAGGACAGCCAAGGATACACAGAGAAACCCTGTCTCAAGAACAAAGAAAAAACAAACAACAACAATGACAAAAATGTTTATAAGAGCAGGAGAATGAAGGCACCTGTTACCAGCTAGTGAGCCCTAGACATGACAGGTAAGCTGATCCTGAGACCTCAACAGTATATTTGCATAAACAGGAGGTACCTAATGAATGTAGTTGACATCAGAATATGAATGTAGGAAATTTCACAAAGTCCCACCACTAGATGAAGAGCTGCTGACAGAGGGAGAATCAGTTTTATCAAGAGACCAGGCCCCTAATCACACATACATAGGAGCAATATTAAATGGACTCGGTAGTTTGCAATAGTAAGTTTGTGTGTGTGATAATAATTATATAAACAATAATAATTTTAGAAAGCTCATGAACGTGAAAGGCTGGGGTATGGGAAAATTTGGAGGGGTAAAAGGATGGTGAAAAGATGTGAATAGAAAAAAGAAAAAGATGGCATAGTCACTAAGCACATAACATAATCGTATCATCACACATCATAACACAATCGTCCTCATTCTGTGGACTCTTTTTATTAGAAAGATCATCATTAAATAATTTTAGTTAAATTCCTTAAGGTCTTGTCTTCCCAGTTATTCTATCCTCTTCTTACGAAGCAGTGATAAATACTACTTTCTGAGACATTTTGACTATGCTGATGTGCCAACAGAAAAGCTGAAAACAGCAACTGTCACGTAAAAGAGAACCCTGAGAGTTGCATCCCTGCCTAATGCTGGGCTTCCCTCAGGTGTTCACAAGCACTGCTGCCGCCTCTATTCCTCCTGTGTTCTTCTCCTCGGATCTGTGATGGAAACTCTCAGAACCCGGAAACTCTCAGAACCAACACAGTTCTAAACCAATACATATGTGTATCTTCTTTGGACATTTATTGTATTAAAATGCCACTTGACAAGTCCTGAAGTGAACATTAGATCAAGACATTGTTGTGGCTTTCAAGATACAAGCACACTAATAAAGAAGGATAAACATCTTTTTTGACGACAAAGTATTAACTGGAGACACAGATAAAATATAAACAACAAACCATGGTTGAGGACCAGCTGTCATATATGCCAAAGGGTCAGTATTTTAAAAATGAATATACAATGAGGACTCAGCAGGTAAAGGCACTGACTGCCAAATTTGACATGTTTCATCCCTGAGACCTACATGTGGAAGCTATTTTACTGATCTCTACCTACCTACACACACACACACACACACACACACACACACACACACACACACCCCTCATTAAAGTAAATATACAGGTAACATTATGGGACTGGACATGTAGTAATTAGGAATACACATACACACACACACAAATGCACATACACACACCCACAAAACCATGCATGAAATAACAATTACTAAAAAATAAAAAAAGAGAGACCATGAATTTGAAGGAGAGTAAGGAGTGTTGTGTAAATGGGAGCTTGGAAGGAGTAAAGAGAAGGAAAGACTGTAATTAAATTATAACCTCAAAAAGAAGACAAATTTAGAACGGCAGATAAATAAGATCACTGAAGAAACTTGTAGAAGAGCAAACAGAAGTTACTGTTTAGGGAACTCCAGTATCTCCTTGGGATACTGGAGAACACAGTTCTGGAACACTTCTAAATGGGAGTTAAAAATGAACACTTTATTAAGTTCTGCTTCAGCAGGACGGACAGGCTATACAAAGAATCCACAGAAGCTTTGCCCTCACTACAGAAAGATAATGTGGTGCATTCGCTCAGCCACAGAGAGCCTGCTGTCTCTGGATGCCCCTTTGCAACATACCAAAGGTGTCTTGTTTCTTCCACAGACTTGAGATACTTATGGAAAAACATTATGACACAATTGGCAGTCTTCCCAGCACTTTCTGGTGCTTGCTGTTTGGACTGTTTGCTAGCACACTCACACACCCGGCTTTGAAGGAAGCACCTACAGGGAACACGAGAATGAGGGTATAGGATTTCTGCCAGTGTCATTTGCTTAAAAAACAAAGTTATATATTTATGAGGTTGACCTGGCAACCCGACTACTGTGTGGAGAAATAAAGAGTGACGAGCACAGTTGATTCCTCACTGGGAAGGCTTCAGACACAAGGACAGCATTCTTGACCCTGGAGGAAAAGGACTGTTGGAGTTCACTTGGCTAAAGTTCTCTTGGCTATAGTAGCAGGAAGCCCAGGGCTGAGGCAGCCACTGGCAACTGAGTTAGAAAGCTGACTTCATGGTGTTTTTCTGGGCTTAGGGTGGAGTGACCAGATCTTCGGGGAAGCATACTTCTCTAGGAGGAGTTTTGGGGTCATTCCTCCACCCTGCCCCTTTGATTCCCCAAGGAGCACTCATCTGACAATTTCTGGATTTAAAGGAGCTGTTGTGGTTTCAATACCAGATGTAAGAAACCACATTATAGAAAAATGTCTTAAGCACTGACTACTCCCTTTTTGCACAGAGCCTGTTCCAGATGTGTGTCACTAATCCCTGGCTTGTTCCACACTGTTTTAGAACAGAGGAAAAATGCTTATTTTTAAGAGCTTTAAAAAAATGGGACTGTTAGCAGAATTTTCTAATTTAGCCTTGGTTTATTTGTGGAGAAGGGTTGATCTCTTCCCACAGTGTACACAATTATTGCTTTTCAACAGTGGTTTTCTATGTAATTCTCAAAGCCCTGTGCACATGTCAAAGCGGCTTTTAAGGTGCCACATGGGGGAAGAGCCATAGGTGGAATGTGGCTGATTTCAGCTGCATAAATGTCTCCATCATGGCTAAGTTCAAGTTGTTGCTTTGTATATTGTACAAAATAATATACAAAATCAGTGTTCAGAACTCCAGAACAAGTTGGCTTCAGAATATTCTTCAAGAGATTCTGAAACCTCAGTTTAATAAATGTGTCTCTTTTACAATGTTTTATGCTTTATGGAGGTTTCATTTAAGCTACAGGAGGGAGGGTGTGGAGTTTTATTCAGTTCACAAGTGCATTGCTCCTGAATTATAGGTTCACATACTGGAGAAAGCATACCAGATCAATCACAGGCATCTTTTACTTTTCTGTTTTAAGGTATAAGCTTAATTAGATCAATTCTAATTATTAAAAAAAATTATAATTCAAGGCTCTTCCCTACTTTTTCTTCTAACAGATTTAGTGTGTCTGTTTTTATTTTGAGGTCTTTGATCCACTTGGGCTTTAGTTTAGTGAAGGGTGCTAAATGGATCTATTTATGGATCTATTTTCTGTTTTTTTACATGGACACATCCAGTTAGACCAACACCATTTGTTGAAGATGGTATCTTTTTCCATTGTTTCGTTTTGGCTGCTTTGCTAAAAATCAAGTGTGTGTAGGAGTGTGGGCTCATTTCTGAGTCTTCGATTCAATTCTATTGATCCACCAGTCTGTTTCTATACCAGTACCATGCAGTTTTTATTAGTGTTGCTCTATAGTACATCTTGAGATCAAGGCTGGAGACACCTCCAGGAGATCTTTTATTATACAGGCTTGTTTTAGCTATTCTGTTTTTTGATATTTGTTTTTGTTTTTTGTTTTTTTGTTTGTTTGTTTGTTTGTTTCCTATTGATTTTGAGAATTGTTCTTTCAAAGCCTGTAAATAATTGTGTTGGTATTTTGATAGGGATTATATTTAATCTGCAGATTGCTTTTGGCAGGATGACCATTTTTACTATGTTGATCCTACCGATCCATAAACATGGGAGATCTTTCCATCTTCTGATATCTTCTTTAATTTCTTTCTTCAGAGATTTGAAGTTTTTGTCATACAAGACTTTCACTTGATTGTTTATGGTTACAACACGGTATTTTATGTTTTTGTTTTGTTTTTGTGGCTATTGTGAAGGGTGTTGTTTCCCTAATTTCTTTCTCAGTGCATTTGTCATTGATACAGGAACAATTTCCTGAACAGAACTCCAGCAGTTCAGGTTTTAAGATCAACAATTAAAAAGGATCTCATGAAATTGGAAAGCTTCTGTAAAGCAAAGGACACTGTCAACAGAACACACTGACAGCCTACAGACTAGGAAAAGATCTTTGCCAACCTCACATCTGACATTTGGGCTAATATCCAAAATATATAAAGAACACAAGAAATAAAACAGCAGCAAACGAAATAATCCAATTAAAAATGAGGTAAAAACTAAACAGAGAATTCTCAACGAGGAATATCTAATGGCAGTGAAACATTTAAAGAAATGTTCAACATCCTTATCATAAGGGAAATATAAATCAAAAACATCTCTGAGATTCCACCTTAATCAGAATGGCTAAGATCAAAATCTCAAGGGACAGCACATGCTGGAGAGGATGTGGAGACAGGGGAACACTCTTCCACTGCTGGTGGGAATATAAACTTGTACAACCACTCTGGAAATCAATCTGGTGCTTTCACAGACAATTGGGAACACTGTTACCTCAAGACCCAGCTATACAATTCCTAGACATATATTTGAAAGATGCTCCACAAATTTCCACAAAGGAAATTTGCTCAACTATGTTCATCACAGTTTTATTCATAATAGCCAGAATCTGGAAACAACTTAGATGTCCCTTAAACAAAGAATGGATACAGAAATTGTACATTTACACAATGGAATACTACCCAGCTATTAAGGAAATCATGAAATTGGCAGGCAAATGCATGAAACTAGAAACAATCATCCCGATTGAGGTAGCCCAGAAAGACACACATGGTATATACTCATTTCTAAGTGGATATTAGTCATATAATACAGAAAAAACATATTACAATCCACAGACCTAAAGAAGCTAAATAACAAGGAGGACCATAGGGAGGATGCGTAATTCTCATTCAGAAGGGCAAATAGAATAGACAACAGAAGTAGCTGAAGAGAGGGAACAGGATAGCACCCTACCACAGATTCCTCTGAAAGACTCCACCTAGCAGGGGATCAAAGCAGATACTAAGACCCACAGCTAAACTTTGGTCAGAGTACAGGGAGTCATGGGAAAAAAGAGAGGAACAGAAGGACCCAGGGGGGACAGGAGCTCCATAAGACTGACAGAGCCAACAAATCTGAGCCCAGGGGGGCCTGCAGAGACTGATGCATCAACCAAGGTCCATGCATGGAGAGGACCTAGACCCTCTACTCAGATGTAGCTCAGTCTCTTTGTGGGTCCTCTAGTAAGGGGAGCAGGGGCTGCCTCTGACATGGACTCTGTTAACAGCTCTTTGATCACTTTCCCCTGGTGTGGGGTTGGGGAGCTTGCCAGGCCACAGAGGAAGAGTATGCAGACAGCCCTAATGAGACTTCATAGAATGGGGTCAGATGGTAGGGAAGGAGGGCTCCCCCTTTCTGAGGACTAAGGGAGGATAATACAGGGAAAAAGGAAGGAATGGTAGGATTAGGAAAAAGTGAGGCAGGGAGCTACAATCAGGATGTAAAGGAAATAAATTATAAAGAAGTTAAAAATTAAAGAAATTATAATTCATCCTTAATTCAGCTAGTAATGAGACTTCCACATATACTTGAAAATTTTTGAGTGAAATAAATTTACTCATATAAAATTTTCTCAGCCTTTTTTTCCCTTCTAACCTTCTAAGTCAGTTTTCTTCAGATCTACTATCAGAAATTAAGTACCCTGAGATGAGATGACTATATCTATTTGTTTTCCTTGGGTTTAGAAGCAGTTAGTGTTCTGGCCAGGCTATTTTGAGCTATTTTAAAGGAAATCATAGATTCTATAAGCTACTTGATAGCCATGATTAAGTAACTAAAAGTTGCTTCTTCTATATAAAAAGAATGTCAATATTCAGTCTTTGAGTTTTTTACCCCGAGACTCAAACTCGTACGTGTGTGTGTGTGTGTGTGTGTGTGTGTGTGTGTGTGTGTAATTTTCAGGAGATAGAGAATCCCTTTAATCTTAGTGAATTAAAAAAAAAACTGACAGTATGGGTACTCCAGCTTGTTTCTTGGGTCTGTTTGCTTGGAAAACCTTTTAAGCAGCCCTTTACTCTGAAGTAATGTCTTTGTTTTTGATGTGTGTTTCTTGTATGCACTATAATGTTGGGTCTTGTTTATGCATCCATTTGTTAGCCAGTGTCTTTATTAGAGAATTGAGTCCATGGATTTTAAGAAATATTAATGATCAATAATCATTAGTTCTTTTTAGTATGGTGTTAGTGGCGGCAGTGTTTGTGTGCTTGTCTTCTTTTGGTTTTGCTGTAGTGAAGTTATTTATATCCTGTGTTTTCTTGGGTATAGTTAACCTGTTTGGGTTGGAGTTTGAGGGAATGTCCAACCAATGCTTGGCCCAAACTGAGACCCACCCCACAAGAGAGAGCCAACTTCTTACACTATTAATCATATTCTGCTATGCTCACAGACAGGAGCCTAGCAAAGCTGTCCTCTGAGAGGTTCCACCAGTAGAGGACTGAAACTGATATTGAGACTCACAGCAAAACATTGGGCAAAGTATAGGGAGTCTTGTCAAAAAAGTGGAGGGAAGGATAAAAGTAACTGGAGGAGATAGGAGCTCCTCAAGAAGACCAACAGAGCCAACTAACCAGGGTCCAGAGGGGCTTGTGGAGACCAAGGACCATGCATAGACTGGACCGAGGCCCCTACATAGATGTAGCAGATGGGCAGCTCAGGCTTCCTTTTGGATTCCTAATAAGGAGAGCACAGTCTGTCTCTGAAATGGACTCTGTTGCTTGATTTATGATCACTTCCCTCTGGCAGTGTTGCCTCGCCAGGCCACAGGAGATGAGGACAAGCTGAGTCCTGATGTGACTTGATGAACTGGTGTGGGTTGATGAGGGGATGGCTCCTCTTCTCTGAGGAACAGGGAGAGATGGGGGAAAAGAGAGGGAGGATGGGACTTGGAGAAGAGGAGAGAGGAGGCTTTTTTCAAGATACAAAGTGAATAAATAAATTAATTAAAAGAAAAATCTTGTCAGTGAAATAACTTAAGAAATTAAGAAAACGAAAGATGGGACAATATAAAAAAAATTCCTTCTGATGTCATAAATATAAAGTGAACCAACATTTGAAAGCTTTTGTGAGATTCATATCCTGAATACAAATTTTAAGGTTTTATTAAGAATATTAGTATCCACAGGAAAGGGAGGGAAGGATTGTAGGACCCAGAGGAGTCAAGGACATCATGAGAACACGGCCCACAAAATCAACTAAGCAGGACTAATAGGAGCTCACAGAGACTGAAGGTACAATCACGGAGCCTGAATGGGTCTGCACTAAGCCATCTGCATACATGTTGTGCTGTTTAGCTTGGGGTTTTTGTGGGGTTCCTCACAGTGGGCAGAGGAGTGTCTCTGACTGCTCTTAAGACCCTTTTCCTCCTACTGGGTAATCTCATCCAGCCTTGATATGAGAGTTTGTACTCAGTTTGGTTGCATGTTGCTATGCTGATATCCTTAGGTGGCCTGCTTTTTTAAGGAAAACAGAGGAAGAGTGGATTTAGGGGAGGGGTAAGGTAGAGGGAGACTAGGAGGAGGGGAGGGAAGGGAAACTACAGTTCAGATGCATTGTATAAGAGAAGAATAAAAAAAAAGGGGGGGAAGAACACTTGTATCTGTGTTCATCTGAGAGATCAGCCCATAGTTTTACTTTATATTGTTATGTTTTTATCTGCTTTTACCTTCAGGAGAATACTGCTTCAGTGGAATTATTTTGTTAGTGTTCCTCTTTCTTTCTTTCTTTCTTTCTTTCTTTCTTTCTTTCTTTCTTTCT